GTATATGTAGGAAAGGCAACACCTGTTTTCTACTCTAACATTCAGTGGCCTGGCCTGAGAAACTAACAAACAACAGATTTACAGAGAAAAGGTTAATGGCCCAGGAGCACAGGAAGTAACCAACAAAGGAAATATCTGACTCCCTAAGTGGTTAAAGGTTTATATTCCTAACTAAATAGGGGAAAGGGAGGAGAAGATTTTTGGCTTGTAGGGACTGTAAAGAGTGGTGAATGCAATATATATGGGAAACTGTAGGGTCAAAGCTAGACAGGGCTCTCCCACCATCCCTGATGAGGGCTGGCCAGAGGGCCCCTGGCCCGAAAGAATGTGTATTGTCTTGAGCAAATGGATTGTAACTCCCTCCCTATCACCCCTGGGGATCCAGGTTTCTTGCATGATGACTGCTTCTTGACCTTTCTGACGTAATATAGGTTAAGGCCACATGAAAGCCTGTGCAGCTTGAACCCCTGCCGCCTTTGTCTGGGACCCCTCATAGTGGGTCTCGGACTGGGGAGAAGTGTGTTCCTGCTTTGCAGACCTGCCACCTTCAGTGCTCCCTGTAATGTGAGTAATAAGGGCTGTATCTGCTCCACCAGGTTCTCCTTATGGGTTTTTTGTTTTTTGTTTTGGTTTACCTGAATGAGCAGTTGAGATCCCCAGGTTTGACCTCCTGCATTACAGAAACTAAGAGAAAATGAGGGTTAATTAGCAAGGTTTTTCGACATAAGAAATGTCCCAACCTGTAGAGAATTTTTATGAGTTTATTTGAGCCAAGCTGAGGACAATTTCCAGGAAACAAAGTCATAACAGATTGAGAAAATGCTCCAGAAAAATAGCTGTTTTACCACTTATTTTATACATTAGAATCAAAGGAGAAGGCATTAGGGGGTCACATGAAATCCATTGGTGATAGATTAGGGAGGTGGGAGAAAGCAAAGTGGGGAAATCTCTGGGACTAGATAAAAAGTAAACCAAATATACACATACTTCTTGTACATTGGTGGTTATAGGATAGTTAACAATGAATGTTTATAGCACAGAGATGGTACACATGAGAACAAGATAACAATGAGGAGTTCCTGGTCTCCTCTTCCAGTGGGAGACTGTGCCCTGAGAGATCTGGACAAAAGGGATTACTCTGACATTCCAAAGGCATGTTGTCGTAGATTCAAAAGCACAATAAACAGGCTCAGTGAAGCAAAACATTGACCTTTGTCAAGGAAGATTCCGGCCTAGGACATGACTACTCCTCATGACTAGCTTTTAGTTAGGAAGTTTTAATTTCAGATCATCCTATGTGGATACTTCAGGTCTCTGAGTTTGTAAGGTCCACTATGCAGGCCTCCCCTGAGCTTGTCAGGGTTAGTGTGAGGCCCCTTTGTTCATCCACAGTTTGTTATGCAGCTTCAAGTGGTGATAGCTGATACGAGTTATCTCCAAATTACTCTCCTCTTCCTGGTGAGGGGGAGCACCTTTGTGTCACCTGCCATTGAGTTGACTCCTGGTGACTCTATGAATGGTGTCCAGAGTGTCCTGTCCTCAGCAACCCAGCTCAGCTCCTGTACATCAATGACTATGGCTTTTTTAATGGAGTCAATCCACCTTGTATTTGGTCTTCCTCTTTTCTTTTTGCCTTCTATTTTTCTCAGCATTATTGTCTTTTCCAAAGAACCCTGCCTTCTTATGATGGGCCTCAAGTAAGATAATATCAATTTTGTCATTTTTGCCTACAGTGATGTTGCAGGCTTAATTTGTTCTAGGACCTACTTGTTAGTCTTTCCATTGCTCCAGGGTATCCGTGATGCTCTCTTCCAACACTGTATTTCAAATGAATCAACTGTTTTCTTATCAGCTTATTACCAAACAGGGTACCTGGCCCTGAGTGGGTCTACCTAGGGCCAGCTGTAGTGCGTGGACTCTTGACTTCCTGTAGGAAAGATTTCACAACACGAGTCCAGGTGACTATGAGGATCCATTTATTAAAGCTGGACAGTGAAACAAGGAAGGGCTTGGCATAGAAGAAGCAACAGGAGAGCCTAGGCTGGACTGCCTGAGCTCACTGGGAAGTCAGAGAAAAGAAGACCTTAGGATATGTTCAGTGGATTAGCCTGGCATGAGCTGCTGCTGCCCATTGCTCCCCTAACTGCAAATATTGGGGTCCCTTAGGGCTTAGGAGATGCACCTGTGGGGAAAGAAGTGGGGGAAGAAGAAGAGAAAGGGAATGGTGTGGGCTACTGCCCAGAGGGAAGGCGTGCAGAGCTCCTTTGTCTTGTCTTGGGGCTTTTATCTCTCTCTTGCAGGCAGGAACCTTAGGGGTGGCCTCAGGGGAGGGTTTCAGTAGAATATTCATTCTCTAGGTCTGCTCTTTCAGGGTCATGGTCTCCACTTATCCATTAGTGCCAGGGCAGGGGGTTGTAATTGTACTTGGTCCTGACATAGCCCACTTGGTTTTGCCACTTTTCTGGGCCTGGAGCTAAAATACAACAGAGGCCTAGAAATTATCTCTAGAAAGGTGACCCTCTGTATCTGACTGTAAATTGCTTGGCCAGTTTGTTCAGCTCTCTGTCAGGTTCCCTATTCTACCTGCCAAGGAATTTTCCTAGCTTCTTACTATCCTACCTCAAGCTCTCTTCACTGTCCAACTTTCGCATCTGTACATAGTAACTGGGAAAATGAGGGTGCAGGTTATCTTAGCCTTGGTATCTGATGATACATCTTTGCTCTTGGTGGTCTTTTCCAATTCTTCTGAATCTTAGCCTTCTCTTGATTTCTTGGCTGCAGTCTCCATTTGAATTGACTGAACCAAGGTAAGCAAAATCTTTAACAATTTCATTGTCTTCATTGTCTATGTTAAAGTTGTGTGTTTCTTTTGTAGTCATGATTTTTGTCTTGGTGTTCAAATGTAGTCCTGTTTGGCACTTTCTTCTTCCACTTTCATCAGAAGTTGCTTCAGATCATAGCTCCTTTTTGCCAGTAAGAAGAACATATATGCATGGCACAGTGTAGTGATGTCCCAAGGGAAGGAGGGAGTGAGGGCTGGGTGGAGGCTGGCAAGCGGGGCAAAATGGGGACATCTGTAATAGTGTCTATAATGAAATAAAGTTTAAAAATGGTGTCTATTAGAAATGCAAGAGAAATAGAGGTAGGAGGAACCGATGATCTAATCCAAGTGCCTTATTTGATGCTGCTATTACAGGAAGGCTGAGTTGGGATCAACTGCAGCTCCCAGTGAGGGAGGGGGAAGGCAGGAATGGAGTTTTTAAAAGAAAAAGTGTGGGGTTTGTGAGGAGCTAGGGGAGGGGTTAGTCTCTTGTTCTTCCAGGCGGGTGCCTCAGAGTTCCAGGATGTGAGCTGGGACAATAGGTTAGGTAAAGGGCAGCAGTTCCCAGGTACAGAAGGGTCAGTCTGACCGCCAGTCACTGTGGTAGGCGCCAGGTGTCTATTGTGCATGGTGGGGGGGAGTTTTGATTAAGCCTCCGGCTATTAATTGAGTGGAGATAACTGAGTCCTGGGCAGTCCAACGGGTTGGAAACTGGCCTGACTGGGTCATGAGCAGCCTGGCGGGCTGGGAAACTGGCCTGACCCTTTCAGTGTCATCTGCATATCTAAGTTATTGACGTTTCCTTCACCAATTTTCACTCCTTTCCCTGAGTCTAGCTCTTTACAAATGGAGACTTTTACAAAAGAGAAATTTATGCCTTGCACCAGGCAGAAGGACAAAGACCTCCTCCTGTGTTTTCTGTTTCTTAATTGCCTCCAGCTCAAAAGAATCCTTATGCCACAGTGGCATGTTTTGAGGTGGGGAATTCTGATCCCCTTCAGTTGTAATTAAATGCCAGGCTCTATATTATAATATAAAAACCTATCAGTGCAGCAGGGACTGACTTGTTCACTGCTCTGTCCTTTGTGCCTAGAACAGTGCCTGGTTTGGGATATTGGCAAATCTCATGTGCTGGAGTCACCCAGATCCTGCCAGGAGTAGCATATCCTTCACAGAAGCTGCTTTCCTTGGGAAAGGGACCTGAAAGGGTGGCTAGAATTGGTAGCCTCTGTAGTCTCTTTAATCAGGGAGGGAAACCAAACCACTGGAGAAAACTGCCCTTTTGAATCAGGTCACAGGGGGCCTGGATAAGCTCTGTCCAAGAGGTGCGGTACAGGAGAGATCACTAGGCTTGGCAGCTGTTCCTGGGCTGCACCAGTACCACTAGTCAGCATCTGTGGGCAGAGAAGGGCTCCCTGGAGTACTTCCCCTCCCAGTCCTTCCCCTCCCTGGAGCTTGTCCCCCATATAGGCCAGACGTTTGCCCAAGAAGGGAGACAGACACCTGCAGCAACTCCAGCCCATACTCAACAGCACCCAGCATCTCTAGTGTATCCCAAAGCTCCCATCCTGGAGCTTTGACTCACTGGTTCTCAAACATTGCAAGGGAGCAGAATTTACAACAAACACAGAAAAGTGCACATGTTTGAACAGTGTGATGAATTTTCACAAAGTGAACAAACCGGGTAATTCCCAGGACAGGAAACAGAATATCACCAACTAGCCTCTCTGAAGTCCTTCTCATGCCAATTCCCAGTCACTACCCACTACTTGTCCCACGGAGTTTCTGCTTTATAAAACTGATGAAAAATCTGGTGTCTAGTTTACAAAGCTGCACAGGTGGTTTATATGCATAGCTAGATTTGGAAACTACTCCTGGAAGTTATATAATCTCTTTTGTCATAAGTGGAACTAGAGGATGCTTTGCTCCCAGTCTTCGGCTCAGCACCAGTAGCTGTCTGGCTGTGCTTACCCACTGAGCAAGAGGGCATTTCCTGTATCTGGGGTCTGCCGAGCACATGAGTGCAGCTCCAGGGCTCAGGAAGCCCTACTGGTTGGTCACAGCCTGGGCATGTGGCCCTTCCTCCCTGGCAGGAGTTGGATGAAGAGGTATTTTTGGAAGGTGCAGGAATTCCATAGCCATTTGGAAAATGCCTGCTCAGAGGCTCAGCTGGATTCTCATTTTAATATGATGATGTGGCTGAGGGGCCTGACCTAGTCAGTTTTCCTGGATCTAGAGGTGGGGAAAGTAAGGAGGCATGCTCTTTTCCCCCTAATTTTCTTAAAATTATATCACCATTTTCTTTTTGTCTCAAATCCCTTTATCCCACAGGCTTTGAGAGAATTGTGAGATGTCTCCTGAAACTCATTGGCTCTTTGATGCTGTTTTCAGGTAAGTGTTTAACTTGCTCTAAATCAGCCAGGGCTTTTGGGTCACTTTAAGTCAAGCAAAAGTTTAGTTTCAGTTCCCCAGCACGTATCTTTTGGCCCTGCAGCCCTCACCTGGAGTCTGTCTCCCTGCTTTTCCAGGCAGGACCCTAAGCACCCTGTTATTCTTTTCCCTGTGTCCCTCTCTGCTTTGCTCTGGTGGCCTTCATGGATAGCCACAGCTTTTGCTAATCATCTCTCCATTCATTCACCCGTCCATTCATTTAATTAGTGCCAGGCCCTGTGCAGGGGAAAGGATGGAGGCACCGGCAGATAAACCATCTCCTGTCATCATTATTTCTGCCCTTACCTTTAAGAACTTCCTTTTCCCACTTTTCCACTTCCTCTCACAGCCATGCCTGTGCTCTCTGAAAAATCTCTGCTCCCGTACTTGCATTTCAAAGGTAGCCTGTCTTTTCCTTTTTTCTGTGTCCAAACCCCTTGCTTCTAACTCTCATTTTTAGCTCCCTCAGGAAGCTAGAGAATAAAAAAATAGGACCTGGCATGATTCTCCTTCCCAATTTTCTGTGTCTGAGGGCTTCCCTGTCCCTTCCACCTCTACACCATCCTTATTGTCTCTCCATGCCAGATGTGGGAATGGAAATGCCATGACGGGAGATCTGCTGCACTTCTGTCCTTCCAAAAACCAAAGCATAGCCAACAACCCCTCAAAATAAAAGTGTGGGAGAGCCATGCTTCCTCTTTAGTTCTCCTCAAAGCCTTAACATTCTTACGTGTGTTCCACAGAGACACACTTTCCTTCAGGAGGTGAGATCACTGTAGTAAGGGGTCTTCACTTACCCTTGGCCAGGCCTTCTTCCTGGGAGATAAATCCCCAAGGCAGAAGCTGCACAGAGGTTGGCCTAGAGGGCAGCGGCTTCCTGGCTCTCAGTAGGGTGTCGGTACTTGTCCACTTCCTCTCTTTTTCTTGAGGCTGCTGGGCTGTTTGGAAGAAACAAGCTCTGAGCCCTTAGAATTGCCTATTGGTCAGGGGGCAAAGCTGCCTTTGCCCTTCGATGAGGTTATCCAAATCTGACCTCTACCACCTGGAAAAGGTAAGTCTTGGGAGGGAAAAGAAATGCAGAGTATTCAGAATATGTGTACTCAGGACATTAAATTATACAGAGAAGTACAAATGCCATGTGAACCACATATCAGTAGAGGCTTAAACAGTGAGTTCTCCAGGAGAAAGTTTTTTTATTAAAAAAATTAAATATTTATTCATTTTGAGTAGGTAATCCAAATAAATGTCTTGCACAAAATTTCAGAGGATACTGTGAAAAATAATTCTCTTTCCCACTCTTGTGCTTAAGTCCTTCAGTTTTCCTCTCAGACACAACTATTGTTGCCTGTTTACTGTGCATACCTCTGGAGATCATCTCTGAAAATCAGGCACAGGTGTGCATACATGTGTGTACTCAAAATACAATGGGCATATCACATATACTGTGTTTAATTTTTTTATTTTCACCTAGAGTATATTTTGGAGTCTTTTTTCTTATTAGTTCTGTGAGGGAGGGGGAATTTTTCCTCTGAGTTCTTTTGGCTGGTCTAGTAATCCAATTGACGTGAGACAGATTAACAGGAAAAAAAAACAACCAAAATTAATTTTATAGGAGGGTAATTTAAGAACATGGGGCCTGAGGACAAATTGTGCAGTTGAAGCTTATTTGCCATTTTGAGTTAAGGTGCTGGGGGGAGAGTTGTGGTTTGGGAATTCAAATGGGAAGAAGGCAATTCAAGTGTTCAGTAAACAAATGTTTGCAGGGCCATCTTGAACAATGGCAGACAAAGAGGTCTTTGATCAAAGGTCCCTCCCTGTCTATTACTCACTAGTTCGTGTGTGTGTGTGTGTGTGTGTGTGTGTGTGTGTGTATAATTCTCACCCAAGGATATGTTTATTGATTTTAGAGAGAGAAGGAGCAGGAGAGAGAGAGTAATGCTGATGTGAGAGAAAAACATTGATCAGCTGCCTCCAGTACATGCCCAACCAGAGATTGAACACACCACCTAGGTATGTGCTCTGACCAGGGATAGAACCCACAAATTTCTGGTGTACAGGTCAACACTACAACCAACTGAGTCACCTGGTCAATGCTATACTAGTTCATATAAAACTGTAGTTATCTATGATGATAGCTTTTTTCCTGGACCTATCTAACTTCTTTTAGGCATTTCATGGGAAGGTCAAAGTTTCTTTCTGAGTCTTTGGTTCTTAAAAATAACCAGCTTAAAATAATAAATATTGTAGGCACGATCTCCGTCTTGGGAACATGCCTGCATCTTTCTCCTTCTCCTCTCCTTCCCCCATAGGCCTGCATCTCCTAAACTGTAAGGGACCCCCAGAGACTTGCAACCAGGGGAGCAATGGGCAATGGCAGCTCCTCCTGGGCTAACACCCTGAACCTGTCCCTAAGGTTCCCTTTTCTCTGACTCTCCAGTGAGCTGACAGCAGCCCTGCTGTGGCTCACTTCTTTCCCATAACGTTTCTAGAGAGCCAAAGCAGCCTGCTTAGTGTCTCTCCTGCTGTTTCTTCTTTCCTAAGCCCTTTCTTGTTTCATTGTTCCCAGCTTTAATTAATGTACTCAAATAAAAAAATCAATATCCCATAAAAGGCATATTTTGTTGTAGCAAAATTCTGCTCCTCTCAGTACATATACTATAGGGGTTGGGGGTAGATTTAGAAAGCAGAACAAGCTTGTTCCCAAGCGACCCTGGGCTTTGTTTCAGATCACGCTTCTGGCTGCTTGTGACAATGTGGCCCTGGAGCCACCTGAAACTGTCTTGCTCAGGGAGACAGACATCCTGCCATGTGATAGGCAGGGAGCCAACCACCCTGCCAAGTTTTACTGAAGGGATTTGTGTACTCTGCTCTTGCCCTTATCTGGAATTTGTTCTCAGTTTAAAACATGAGGTATAAGCGCTAGCCTCCCCTAACCCCACCTGGCTACTCAGTTCTTTTTTGAGATGTTATAGGTGGGCAACACATTTTCTAAGCAGTGCAGAGGTCACCTCAGAAAGTTGTATTTCTGGTTTGTGGAGAGAGACTGGCAGGGGCTGTGTTTATGTGATTAATGCCCATTAGTGCTGGCAGTGGCTTCAGCTTACTCAGGTCATGGTGAGCTCTTTTCTTGAAGCGTCTGGAATTTGGGAGGTGGCATGGGTCATAGCCCTTAATGATAAAAGCTGGTTGAATGACTTTGGATCCATTCATAATTACCTCGTAAAGTGCTATTTCCTTCCTTCCTTTCCCTTGCTCTCAACTACTGACCTTGCTCATTCTCTTTTGATGAACGTGTAATCCCCAAAATAGCTTGTGTCAAATCATCTTCATTTGATTGAGGTGTTCCAAAGAAAACTATCATGGTGAGTATTTCTTTAAATTTCCTCAGATCAAACTGCTTACAAGATGTTGCCAGTTGAATAAAGAAAAAGACAAAGTTAGATATACTGAACCCTTGTTCTTAGAGAGTCACCATAGGCAGGGGCTTTCAGGGGTTTGTTAGCTCATCTGATCTTAAAAAACAAAAACAAAACTCAGCTTTATTGAGATATAATTCATATACCATAAAATTTACCTACTTACATAATTCAGTGGTTTTTAGTATATTTATACAATTGTGCAATCATCACTACAATTGGTTTTAGAATATTTCATTAATCACCCCAAAAGAAACCCTATTCCCATTAGCAGTCACTTCCCCTTTTCCCCCTTATCTCCTCAGCCCAAGGCATCTCCTACTTTCTATCTGTATGGATTTGCCTATTCTGGACATTTCACATAAGTGGACTCATAATATGTGGTCTTCTGTGACTAGCTTATTTCACTTACTCTAGTATTTTTTTTTAAAGATTTTATTTATTTATTTTTAGAGAGGGAAGGGAGGGAGAAAGAGAGACAGACAGAAACATCAATGTGCGGTTGCTGGGGGTCATGGCCTGCAACCCAGGCATGTACCCTGACTGGGAATCGAACCTGCGACACTTTGGTTTGCAGCCCGTGCTCAATCCACTGAGCTATGCCAGCCAGGGCTACTCTAGTATTTTTAAGATTCATCCATGTTGTAGCATGTATCATAACTTTATTTTTTTTTCATGGCTGAATAATATTTCATTGTATAGGTATGATATTTTGTTTATCCATTAATTAGCTGATGGACATCTGGTTTGTTTCCACTTTACTGGCCATTATGAATAATGCTGCTATGAACATTTGTGCACACATTTTTGTGTGGACTGCATTTGATTTTTACAGTAACTTTCTAAGGTTCATATTCTATAGACCTCATTCCGTAGATAACAGGACATCCAGAATGGTAGACATCAAGTTTGAACACTGCTGTGAAATTCTTAAGTGCATGCTTTCTTTAGTCTATGTTCATAGAGTTGAAAGAATTGCTTTGACAGAACCTGGTGTGGCCATGCCTATAAGAAGTGTCAACCTTAAAAATAAGGAGGTTATTTTACCAGTAAAATGGGTTTATTTGGGAATAGTAGAGGAATCTCAATCTAGGATGTGCAAGCTATGGCAAACCACTGGCAAGAGAACAAAGAAGAAGAACCTTATAAAGGAAAGGAAATTGGGAGGGATGCTGTGAAGGAAAAGTCCATTGGAGGAGAGCTGGAGGTCAGGGTGGTGATGGCTACTAATTGGCTGGGTTGTTGCTAGATAAGAAAATCTTCTTCCTGCTGGATTAGTAAAGTCAATTTCTTCCCTGTGAGAAACATTTTTTCTTCCTCTGGGAGTCTACAAGGTGCAATGAGTGATTAGTGCCTGAGCACTACCTCTTCAGGGTCTCCCGACTTCGTTTTAGATGAGGTTTCCTTTATTCATTTTCACAGAAGGAATTATAAAACTTGAACAGTTAATTTTCAGTAATGAAATTTCAGCTCCCCTCCACCTCCACCCCATGTCTCCCTTCCCCCTCTGCCCTTTTCTCCTTTCCTAGTTTTCAGTTCTTTTTTTTTCCCCCTTATTCTTCAGGAATCAGTTCCCCATCCTTGTGGTGGAATTTACTCATTTACAGTTTTGTGTGGCGTGGAATATTGCTGGCATCTTTTTTCATTTGAGTTATCACCAATGAGATAAAAGCTCCTCTTCTGGTAGCGGGCACAGGGTTGGTATTTGAAGCAGTGAGCAAAGAGGGTGAACTTCCCGAAAAAGCTCATTTTCTTACCCTATTCCAGGGTTTCATGGATGAAGGCCATTCACGTGAATGGTTGGGGCTGAGCGCAGCCAGCCACCTCCATGCGGCTCCCCTCCATCCAGGCCACGCACGCCTTTGCTCGAGCAACAACCTGCCGAGGCAGGTGGCACCCCAGTCCCTGCTAGGAGTGTTCGCCCTCTTGAAGCAGGTCGCCCCCGCCCCAGCCACAACGTCAGACCCACCCCAGCCCCTCAGCGCTGGTGGGCTGAGGCGCAATTCAGGGCCCCGCCTCCCTCAGTGGGGAGCCAGCGGAACCCACGAATCAGAGAGGCTGACTCATCACCCGGGCCGGGGGCCAGGCAACCAATCCCCGCAGGCGTGTGATTCTGCGCCTGCCTGGGAGACTGGCGGCAGGCACTGAGGCAGCAACAGCGGGAGTCGCTGTTGAGGCGGCCGCTGGTGCGGGTCTGTTCTGCGCTGCTCCGTGGGGCCAGGCTGGGCGGGCAGCTGCTGGCGCCTGGCCGTGAGGGAGGGCTCTTGGGGTGGGTGGAATGGCCCCCACCTAGGCGTTGGGAGAAGCGGCTGAGCCCAGGATGCTGGGGAGGTGGCGCGGTGGCTCCTCACTCATCCCAGGTAAGGGGGACGCCGCTTTCGCTGCGGCCCGCTGCCGGCCCGCTGCCGCCCACCTGGCTCTGAATCCCGCTGGCTCCGTCCTGGTCCTGGCATCCCTTGGCTCCACGTCGCCTCATCCGCCTATATCCCGGTTTGCCCCTGGGCAGTGGTCCTGCCCCGCCCCACAAGCTCTGCGCCTCACATTGTGGACAGGCCGACCCCTGCACGCACCCTACTTCCCCCAACGCCAGCGTTTCCGGGTCTCGGGGTTTGCGGTTGCCCAGCTCCTGCCCAGCTCGCCACCGCTGGAGCCAGCCTCTTGCCCCCTCTTTGCCTCTCCCCTTTCCCTGCGTTGACACTACGTCTCAGCCCCCTGCAGCCCTTCAGGGCGCCTTTCCCGGATGAGACACCCCACCCCCATCCCATGGGGTTAGGTCTTTTGCCCTTACCTCTACCCAGGCTTCATTTCTGCAGGCTCATCCTCATCTCTGCCCCTTGTACCGCGTACCCTACATTTCAGAACCTACCCCCCCCCCAATCCCCCAGGTGTCCGGGGTCTTGCCCGTTTGCTCCCAGATGCCTTCCTCTCCAAACTCACCTTTTCTCCCCTCTCTTTTCATCAACTATCGTAGCTAACACTCTCCTTTACACTAAACTTTCAGACACTAACTGTCCTGTATGCCACATCTACAGTTTTGACATCTTAATTCATCTTTAAGTGAGCTGTAGCTAATATGTAAAGTGCCTTGCCTGGAGTCTGGCACACAGTAGGCCTGGCACATGGTGGATGATTACACATGTTAATCTTTTAGACTTCCTTCTAGGCTTTGTACTTATTCTCCAGATGGTGGTAGCAAGAGGTCTGGTATCCAAAGGGATTACCCACTAACTTAGAGTGGTATGAGTGATAGCAAGATGAATTTGTGAACTCCAAATGTGATAAGGGGATTAAATTGTCAGTTATTTATTCACTACATATATTCAGACGAATTGAATAAATCTTTGTGTTATGTATTGTTCTATATTTTATATGTATTGTTTTGTGCTATTTTATATTAACTGGCTTTGTTAGCAATTTTTAGTGAGATTTGCAATATAATTACTCCCTTATTCCCCTCCTCCCCACCCCCATCTTTTTTAGGAAAGAGCTCCTACCTCTTAACTGAAATAGCATTGTATGTAAGAAGTTTTTAATGTGTTTGTCTCAGCTGGATAGTCCAGTCCTGCAGTGAATTTTCGTTCTTT